ATAATAATGGCACCGGATACCGTTACCCATTCCTACTGTTCAGTCCTGCAGTAATTATTCAGTTTTTATCGAACTATAGATCCCTAGCACTGGTTCATCTTATTGCAGCCTACATATCAAAATACCAATAAATGATGCATGTTGCTAGGCAACCCAGTGTGCCTTGTTGTCTTACATTACTTATTGGGGTCAGAATAACGTCCTCTGCAGTTCTGAATATAAGTGATCGTGATTTTTTTTCTTGTCCCACACACCCCTAAATTCACAGACGATTAAACACATTTTCGGAAAAGTCATGAAGTCTGAGATGATGGAATTTTAATTTAACAGAATTTGAAAATGCCAAGGGGTCAAAGTGACCCCCTTTGTGATTCTAGTGTCAATTAGCACTGAAAATGTTAAAACAGGTCCATGTATTTGCTCCCAGTTCTTTATTCGTTCTCCATTCTACATACTCTGTATATTCTTAGTGTTCTCTGTATGTTCTCTGTATGTTTTGCATCCATTCTCCTGAGTCAGATCCTGATAGAGATGGAGTCGGCTCTGCTCGACGATCAGCCTCACTGGTACAAACTGCAGCTTCATGACGTTTCCTCACTGCCACTGCCCAAAGCCTCCCCCTACCTGCAGAGGAGAGGACTGCAGGCTGAGCACACACACAGCAGCAGGAGGCTGCAGAGTAAGACACACACTCTCTCTCTCGCACACACACAATAAACCTGTGTCACAACCTCACACAACAACATGTTATTTGATGGATCATTTGGAGGGATGCTCTCCTCTGCTGGGACTGGTAATTTCACTGTAGTTGATATATGCTCTGATCACTGGAAAATGAGTCGGTTGCTAAAGTTTTGTTCAAACTGGTTTGATGCTGACAGGGGAATAGGAGTTTTAGAAATATGTAAAAATTCCAACTTGCTGAAAGGAATAAATTTGAAACAACCCTGACCTTACCATGTTATAGAGTCAGAGGAGAAAGGTGAACTCTGAGATTTGTTGCGAAAAATTGACGAGAGTCAAATGAGTGAACGAGTCCAAAACTTGACATTCATCTTTTTGCAGACTTAATGGAGAGTCCAGCCTCTGGTTGCTGAGGTAACCCTCTAATATGTCTATCAATGGTAGCCTTTGTTTCTGTTGGTAGTCAGCTGGTAGTAGCAAAGAAAAAGGGGAGAAAAAACCTCGGTATACACTCACTTTGCTTCACTAACACGATGGTGTCTGCTTGCCAACTGCTGCTGGGCTCTTCCTACGTGTATGCCCCTGAAGTCAATTGTAGAAAAGCTCAAAATGAAAGAATGTTGGGTTGGGCTTATTTCATCAGTGAATGTTTAGTCCAACAACCTAACATCCAGTCACAGCAGAGCAGGCCTCTGGCAGATCCAATCCAATCCAACACCAGTCCTCTCATTCATTTATTTATTTGTTTATTATGCTTTATTGTTAACGTCTTCTTCTTCTTCTTCTTCTTCTTTTTGTTTCATTTGTTTTTCTTTATTTTAAATCATCCACAACGCTTTGCTAGACAAAGGTCATTACTATAACTCAGGTAAAAACGTGCGCCCTCGTGTGTGTGTGTGTGTATGCACGAGTGAGCTTCTGACCCTCTGTTGCTAATGCTGACCTCTATGGCATTTCCCTGTGTGATGCTAAGCTATGCATTTCCTGTGCTATTTAGTATTTATAGTTTTAATAAGTCATTGATTGATAATTGCTGCATAAATATAGCCCTGCCTGATCATATCATAGTGATGTAATTAAATGTTATTTTACCAGGCAGAAAGCTCTCATGAAAGATATTATGTAGCCAAATCATGGGAGATGTAGTTCTTGAAATATCTGTACCTCAGCTACTCAAAACTTGATGATTAGGGTTTGATCTTTGAGGGACTAGAACAGAACTGCCTGGATCCTGGAATGATTGATTAGAGCGAGTGCATCCAGAAGGTTATTGGGTTCCATATAATACTTGAAGATATGTCAAACTGTGCATAAAAAGGTTCTGGACAGACTGTTCAATGGATTATTGGTAAATCTCTCAAGGGAGTTCTGGATCTTCTTGTGGGAGATCTTTGATGTTGTACCAGGAGGAGTCAAATGGACGTTCTAGGTGTAGGATGTTGAATATATGAACATATGGTCAGCCCAATTCAACTTCTTAAAACAAAAAAAACAACAACTAAGACACAGTTTTATGAGGAGTTTTATGGTTGGAAATCCTCAGGTGAACGGCTACAATGACCTAACCAGTGGTACATATCAGATAGCTGGTCAAAATGTTGCTTAATTTCGAAGGCAGATTTTTTTTTTTTTGTCAGTATTGCCATTGTAACCTGTAACTGTGTTTTAGTTCAATTATCCTGTGAGTTGGACTTCATTTATGTTATTGATAGCACTGTATGGCCCTGTGGAACAAAATATGACCCATCGCTGATCTGGAGTTCACAACAGAAAAATAAATCAGAGAACAGAAGTGATCACTGCATCATTTCTATAACAATGATGCAGTTGTTATGTCCAGCTTTATTTCTGCAGAGAGACTCATGTTAAAGTCGTGAGCATGGACTCCTCAGGACGGAGGAGGTCAGTGCTGCTCAAATTCCCACAGGTGTTCTATCGCTCTTTATATTTTTCTTCCAGCTGATCTTTGCTGGATGGGTTTTATTGCTCCACATTTCTCTTTAAAAGATGAGAGCAAGTGACACACTCATCTCTACTTTCCTCTTTGGAACTTTTGTTTGGATGTTTTTATGCTTTAACAGGAAGTTGACTTCATTTTGGTACACTGATACACACTCATGATGCCATCTATAAATGTTCTCTTTCTAGTACCTTAATCTCTCATGCAGCCACCTATCATCAAACTCAGATCACTCTGCTTCACTTTTGGGACTAATGCAGAAATCGTATTTGTGTATAAACATGCTAGCCTTTGTGTAGCCAGAAAATTATTAATTTCAGCATTCAGTCCGATACTCGGACTGCTGCTAAATTTCACGCATTTGTTAAAGGCTGATGTGGATGTGGATGAAAAGGTTCTGGTCAAGGAGTTGTAAAAGGTTTAAGGGAGTCTGTGTGTAATATCAGATGAATGTGTCTTTTATTGCTCCTGCGTTAACTGGTTTGTCCTCTGGCTGTTCGGTCTGGAGTGTTAGATTTGTTAACCTTCTTGTAGAAGATTACAGATGAGCTGCTTACAGGCTTAAATGTCCTCCCTCTCTCCATCTGCAGGGTCTCAGAGGATCAGTGACAGCGAGTTTTCAGATTATGACTGTGAAGACGGCATTGGGGTGATATCAGGTAAACTCCATATCCCATCATTCACTGCAGTCTCATTTTAAAGGATACAGGAGAGAATACTAGCTGGCTCAAGTGGATTAAAAACATGCTGCTGTAAGACAATGGGAATCTAATCATTTTATAAGTTCCTCAAACTTCTTAAGGTAAACCATTTGAGGATTATGACATAAATGTGACTGCATAACATGAGATTACAAAATAACTGAGTCACGGTTGATGGCTGAACTCCTGCTCTGTTTCTCTGTGTGCAGACTACAGACAGAATGGGCGCGAATTCCATAGCTCCACCCTCTCAGTGCCAGAGCAAGTGATTTCTCCCAATCACTGCTCCCGTTCCGACATGGTCAGAATGAGGTCACGGTCACCGAGCCAGCCGCCTCCTCACAGGTAAGTATCTGTGTGTTGGGGATTTGAGATGGGTCCAAAACATGACAACAGAAGAAGAAACTAAAAAAGGTACCTGAAGAGCTAAAATTAGAAAAACAAAATGGGACGTGAGGGTAGAAAGGGAAAGATGCCACCAGAGAAGATTTGAGAGTACAGCAAGTTGATGCTTTAATCTGCAATAAAACTACAGCATTTGTCTTATCATGTACGTCAAAAGATTCTTGCATGTGAGAGCTTATTGGAGATAATTTATTGTGAGTTTATTGGTCTTTCCCCATAAAGTTATAAATATGTATTTCCATCTTTCTCCATCCTTATTGAGCTTATCCAAAACAGTGACTATATGCAAATATTAAGTTTGTAATAAGTAACACCATGTTTAGGCTATTAAAACTCAGCTGTTCTCAAGTCGAGTCGAGTCGAGTCTGATGAAGTGCCTCAGACTTTGTCCAGGTGATCATTTACTGTGTGCAGCATTATCTTATAGTGCATATCTCCTATTTGTATCCCTTGGAAATCACAGGTAACAGCAGCTGTGCAG